GTGATCGCACTACAAGAGACAAAAATGAAGAAGACCGACATACCCATGGAGAAATGGTCCCGTCACGAAATATCGGAGACGTAAGCTTTGTCGCCCATCTGTCCATTGCCCAGCTCATCGACTCATACGGGATCCTTTTCCCTCGCATAGTCGTCCTACATCTTCAACTGAGGCGTCATGAGAAGATCACAATCATCAACTACTACTCACCTCACCGACCGATAGAGCAGATGAGTACGAATTAGATGCGTTCTACTACCACTTGGAAGAAGTTTTCCGCAATAATAAATCATATTATAGACTTGTTGTCGAAGACCAACGCAAGAATTGAAAAGGTCAACGAGAGCGAATACAGTATCTGAAATTTTGGATTAGGAGAAAGAAAAGGGAATGGAAACCGTCTCGCCGGACTCCTGTCGGCAGCACGTCTCTTCCATGGAAACTCGTTTTTTCCAGAAGGAAGAAAGCCGCCGCTGGACATGGGAGTCTCCTAGCGGCATGACTCATGCTGAGATCGATCACATTCTGACAGACAGAAGATGGTGCCAACTTGACACATCGCTGGCCCCGTCATTCTGTACTGTTCCGATCATCACTTTCTTCGCGCGAAGATTCGACTCAGCCGTAAGCTGTAAAAGAACTTTCTTTATCGACCACGAGGAAAAAGTCTAGTTGTATACGACGAGAACATTCTGAACGAAGTCTTGTCCAAACATGACTGGCAGATCAAGGAAGATCCGACGAAGGACAATGGACTGTTTGTGGAAGGACTGAAAAGTTGCGCCGAATTCGCTTCAGTTGCTCAAGGGGGAAAATCGGATTGCATCTCCACTACTACTAAGGAGTTGTTCGAAAAGAGAAGGAAACTGAAGCCTGATCCTGCTGCAAGACGTTTAACACCGTTAGTAATAAATATCAGCTGCAGAAGAGCTTTCCAAGAAGATATACATTGGTAGAGACAGAAGAAACCACAGTAAGCAGTAGAAAAAAGGAGCAGTATGAAAAAATCTCGTCGAGACTCGCTTGATTATAATGCTCCGCTGTCAGCCCTGATGAACGAAGATGGTATCACGAAAACCTACCGCCATGATTTGGAATTGGTAACGGAAACGTTCTACATCAATCTTTTTCCTTCCACAATCCGCGTTCCGGGTCCAAAAATCCCCGCTGAAGAAAAGCCACCTGGAATTCTTCCGTCAGAGGTTCGAATTGCGACAGAAACTATGAAAAGAGGCACAGCTCTAACACCTGATAATATCACCGCCGATTTCGTTAGAGCTGGAAGCCACAATTTATATGTACTCGCAAACCATATGACATCCTACCTTCAGAAGAAAAAAATCTCAGACTAGTGGAGTACGTCGCGCACGGTCATCCTGCCCAAGAAAGGTGACCGAAGAGATCTTCCTATCTATCGTCCGATTTGCTTGTTAAGCGTACTCTACAAGCTTTTCACGAAGATTATCCTGCCGCACATATCATGGACATTGGATGAGGAGCAACCGGTCTAGCAAGCACGATTTCGGCAAGGGTTTTGCTGTATGGACCACATCCCAACTGTTTCCAGCGTATTGAAGTTTGCCGGGAATACTACTTGTCTCTAGTGCTAACGTTTGTCGACTACGAAAAAGCGTTTGATAGTGTCGAAACGAATGCAATCCTATCAACGATCGTCGACCAAAGAGCGGACTCGTCCTATATAAGGACTCTGTCCGAGTGTTATCGGAACTGCACTACGAAAATGCAGTTTTTCCATCGAATTCTTACAATACCCATAGGAAAATGGGTTCGACAGGGCGACACAATGTCGCCAAAGCTGTTCGGTGCCGCACTGCAGTGGATAATGAAGTCACTTGATTGGGATGAGAAAAGCATACGTATTGATGGAAAATCCCTATCAAACCTTCGTTTTGCCGACGACATTATCATCTTCTCAAGAAGTACTAGCGAAGCAGAAGTGAAGATCAACGAGCTCAACGAAGCGGAGAAAAAGATCGGACTTCGCATAAATCGAAAGAAGACCCAGTTCGTGAAAAACCCATGGTGCGAAGGCGAAACAATTGAATTGGATGGTTCTCTCATTGTAGAGGCCACCTCATATGTATACCTTGAGCGATCAATAAACGTGGAAAATAACACGAAGGAAGAACTAGACGGAAGAAGGAGAGCAGCTTGGGCCGCATTCTGGCCTTTCAAGGAAGCCATCGACCAACTGGAAGACCCGAAGATCCGCTCTCATTTCTTTGATTCTACGGTACTCCCAGCGCTCTGTTATGCTGCAGAGATGTGAGTTGATACTTCAACTACGTTAAGAATGCTTCGAACTACTCACAGAGAGCTTAAGCGATGTCTTCTGAAATATAACTGGCACTCTCAATATGTAACCGGAATGCGAAGTTCGATGCGATGGGCCGGTCACGCAATAAGAAGAATAGACGGCAGACGGACGAAAAGAACTGTAGAGTGGACTCCACAAGAATGCAAACATCTCCTAGGACGGCGGCCTTTACGTTGGGCGGACGTTTTCGTAAATAAAGTTAGTCACCTGCACCCACAGATGCAGTTATTTTACAGATCACGGTATGAGACTTGCGTGTCCACCATGCTCGAATAGAACCACCACCATGGGCGATGATTGCGAGGGAAAGAAAGGCAGATGTGTTGAGGTCAGCACAACTCGTGAGGGCGGTCTATCCAAGTATCCAAGTAAGTAAATCTGTTTTTGGGTTGAAAACTGCCTGCATGTACTACTGGTGTTCGTCTAAGTATCATGGAAAGCTCCTCGAATATTTTCGACTAGTTCTCCAGACATAACTCAAGGTGATCGCTTCGATTTACATCTTTAACTTTTCGTACACGCCCTCATCTAACCCGGCGACACTATACAGAACGCTGGTTGTAGATAGGTATTGTCCGGTGATAACGATTTGTTTTTCTCGGAAAATCTATCTTGCATAAGCCGATATCATTATCGGCTAGTACAGAGGGTGATAATATTTAAAAAATCTCGAAAAGCTATTCCAACCTCGTGTAAGTTAAACAATTTAAACACATATTGCAAGAATTTCTTGGAAAATCCACTACAAATTAGTTATCAGTTCAAAGTGTTTGCAACGCCTGCTAAAGTAAAACCTATTTAAGCTTTCATAGTGCTGAGGTATTTGCCAAACTCCGGACCGCAGGTGTTTGCGATGGGGAATGAACACGCTACTGTCCTTTCCGGTGAGTAACGCGTTCACCATCACACCATACGAGTCCTTCAATCCTGTTGACAGGTGATTGCTGATGGTAAGTGATGGATAGAACTAGTTGAGAGACAGGCGAAATGAAGGGCCCGCATGGTGTGATGGTGAACGCGTTACTCCCCGGAAAGGAAGGACAATAGCGCGTTCGTTCTCTACCGCAGACACCTGCGGTCCGGAGTTTGGCAAATATCTCAGCACTATGAATGTTATATTTCGCAACCTACCCTGCCATTAAAAAGAATAGGCAGTAAATAAAAAGGTTAACATATTTAAGCATTCCGAAGCAGTGCAAAAAAGCTTGACAAATCCTGTGGTAGTATCATAAAATTGGGTCAGCAACTGGTTTTTTGAAAAGTGGCGATAGTTTCGTGACCACTACAGTATTTCAAGGGTTCGGAACTATGTAGATTTTTGAGAGAGATTTTATCCCATTGTGTTAATTGGGAACTATGCAGTGTTTCCGTAAATTCAAATATGTTTAGAAATAAACTTTTAAAGAATTCGTTCGTTTCTTTCTCGCGCAATCGTTGTTCGTAGTGGTGGTCTACTTCGAATATGGCGACATCTCGAAACAATTTGTGTGATACGTCTTAATCGTCGTCTCTTAATCGTCTCCGTCTTAAAGTGCAGTTGCTTTATGTAAGCCATGAATGTATCCGCCCACGCCTTGGATTGTTAAGATAAAACGTTAGCCGAATAAGCTTTTTTCTCAACTTAGTATCTCTGCATCATTGTGGTTGATTTCGTGTAATACTCTGCCGTGAAAATTGTAGTAGGCAGTAAATGAAGAAGTTGACATTATTATTGCACCCTATTATTGAGCTCATTACTCAAACAACTTTCATTTGAATACGCCAAAGAAACCTATGGATCCCGTTATATTGTAGTGTTGCTATTGCAGTCATGCAGCGCTGCCACTGTATTCAAACAGAAATGCTAACTATTCAGTAAGAAACGCGAAGTATTCTCTGTGATCAAAATGGAGATGATCTAGCCCGGCTATACCTGGACTTGACCGGAAACGATAATTCTCAAAGAGCCGAACCTAAACGTGAGAAGTTCGAGGAATTGCGTTGATGATGAAATGTACTTGAAACTGTACAGTAGATATGTAGGGGTTTTTTAAATAAATGATTAAATGAATAGCCAGTTCAATGCTTTCATGGCATATATAATCATTTTAATAGGAAAAAAGATGAAGGAGAAGATGGCATTTGGATGTATTGTACCGGTAATCGAGCCAGACGGCACGAATGAGACGGGATTTGGCGGGAAACACCTACAGGTGACAGGAAAGATCTACTGACGACGTTCTGGGTGAGTTGTCGAATGTAATGCGTGTCCATTCTTTCCGCTATATGGCAGGACGAAGAACTGCATGATCAAACATGTAAATTAGTAAATCTCTCTGTAGTTTGTATTGTATCCAAATGTCAGGGAAACTCAACCGCAACAGGAATCTGTCTATCAACAATGATATTTCTTGTCGAACAACAAATGTGTAAATTTAGAAACGCAGGATTTATATGTCTTTAATTTTATGGTGACAAATAATTGTGGGCTATGTGAACATGAAACAATCACTCTACTACTTTTACAATGGTACGGTTAACCGGTGCATCGGAAGCCCGTTTTGCACAGAAGGCTCTCAATTACACCGGCAATTATGGCGATCTGACGATAACCCAGTGATCAGCACGAAACGTGACAGGAACAATTTATGCACTGCAGTAACTCAACAACAATGTCATGAGTCTATTTTACAAGTTGGCTATCTGGGGTATCTTCCTGGCCAACGAGAACAGAGCGCATCACCTTCCCGGATGATGTTCTAGGAATGGCGTCAACGATCTCTACAGCGCAAAGATGTTTGTACGAGATGAATGTGCCTGAAGCGAGTTGCTCTTCGTACGTCTTCGTTTTAGAAGTACAACAACATAGTCAATGAAATTTTCCATGCTTTAGAAACTGCGTCAACGTATTTTAACGTTTTATACAATCACCAAAATACCGAATTTTGGCCCAAGATTCTACACGGATGTATGCAGAGGAAGTAATGTGGAACGATGAGTTTTTCGTTGTTGACCATTGCCTAAGGAGTGCGCAATGTATTCGTATCGATTCATGGCATCGTTAAGATGACTGAAAGGTGTTTCGCCTATACAACGACTTGTATTGGTCTACTGGTGTATCCAGTGACAGTGTTTTTCTAACCCTGTCGACAAGTCTTTTGCCAGTTTGCCCACTCCGGAGAGATTAAGGGATGGTTGGCTCAAAGCACGGGTCAAACTATCAACCACGTGGGAATTCCGTGACACACCTAACCAGTGTCCTACATGCCTTCTGTTCAATAGCACATAAACAAGTTTGAAGTGTTCATCACTGTTTATCAAAGGCATTTATAGAATTGGAAGTGGTTTGAATTAGAATGCCATTACTAATTTACTACATAGAAAAAGACAAGAAGAAGGAATGAGAGGATCACAGCTCTATGAGAATCTCTTGTTTTAGTAGCAGGTAAAATAAACTGAAACGATTTTTATATTTAAAACACTATTTCGTCTCTGACTGGTACGTCCTCATACCTCTAACAAATTCAATAACATCATTTGGATCGGCCTGTCCGACGATGAACGCCTTTGGTCGTTGTCCGTCGGTTTCATCGTCCACGGCGATAACAGCACAATCGCTCACTCCAGCTACATTCAGTTTTATCGCTTCTTCGATTTCGTATGGATTTACCTGAGTTGCAACAGTCACATAATTTGCTGTAAAGTTGAGTCGACATGGATGAAACGTAGTGAGGAGGAGACAAATCCCAGGAGGAACTTTCTATTAACCTCGGCATTGATCCCAATAATTCACTGCTTTTCTTCGATGGTCAAACGCAAGGTAGTTATTACAGTGTTTGTTAATACAGCATAGCTGATGTTTCGGCGGTTTCGCTCTTTTCAGAGCTTGGAATGGTCAAATCGACATTCATTCTACTTAATCGAACGCTTTTATAACCTCAGCAGATAATCTTGATTAGGATAGTTTGCACGAGCTTTAAGATCGGCTCCTTAACAAAGATAGGATTGAAACACAAAGTAAAAATGAACAACGAGAAGTAGGTGTATTAATATTACTATTACTATGTACTCCTTTTCATCGAGCGTTCTTTTGAGAGCGGGATTCCAACGGCGAAGTAGATACCAATTTTTTCATACTTTCGAAAGAAACTTTCAGAGTCCTTAACCACTATCGGGAGAGAAAGGTAAGAAAACTACTTTGCTGAAGCACATATCAGGCCATCTCAAGAATACTCAAATGTCCTTGAATTATTTGCGTAACGCGCGTCCTAACAGCACGTATGTAGTGGAGTGTGGAGTACGTCGAAGTTAGCGTCCTTTATACTAACGAGTCGAAAGACTCCGCAGAGCAACCCATCCACGATCTTCCTGTGCAACGCGGAGTGATAAACATATATGGCTTCTTGATTCAGCTCACGGCCCTCCTGTAAGTGTGCCTAAACTGCTCGATCTTCAGATAATACGGAAATTATTAGGCAGAAACTAGAGGCTTGGCAATGGCACAGCGACTGGCACCAAGCCTTACCATTATTATCTTTATGTCTAAAGTTGAAGCCCTTGTACGCGGTCTCCAGCCACTGCTGTGCTGGAGATACATGGATTATTGTTTTGTCATCTGCTCCACACTAGAGGAGATGGAAAGATGGATAAATGCTTTGAGATATTGAACGAGCAGCCAGAGGACATAACATCCACCCGAGAGAAACAGAAAGAGGCCAAGTAGTTAAAATATAGCGAATCGTTACCTCTTCGCTCACACCTCACACATTAAAATGGCGCTTGTAAGAAATATCTTTTAAACAGCCACCAATCTATGCGCAGATAGACAGCAGAAGAAGGAATCCTTGAAAGTGGCGCAGCTAATAGCCATTTCGAATGGCTATTGGCTGCGCCTGTAGCTGTAGCTCGTTTAGATAGATGTGGAAGAAGAAAAATCAAGCCCCTAAACAATAATTCTAGCGAGAATCCTTCTCATCTATCCTGCCTTTTATTTTCAGTGAAATAAATGCAGCTATAGAACGTTGCTTAGAAAGGGCCGGTCTAGAGAATTCGGTAAAAGTAAGAGAAATACTATTGGACATTAAAACTCTAGCTAGTTTGTAACCGCCTATATGACCGTCTATGGACAACAACCCAGGCACGTCCCTCGCCCATGTTATACTCTGTGCGGCTGATCTTTACCAATTCTGGAAGACTAAATACGTTAAGTTTTATTTGCTGAGGTTATGAAAGTGTTTGACTGAGTAGGTTGCATGTCAATTCAACTTTTTCACGCTCCGAAGAAGTCCGAACCGCGGAACTGTCAGCTATTGTATGATAATAAATTCTCACTGTTTGCTCATTGAAGGAAAACAATGAAATAGAAAATGGTTCATCTTATAGAAGTGAAGAGAGTCAATGAGAAAGTAGTAGTACACAATTGTGGATTACGGATTCGCCAGTCAGATCAGAAGTCGTGGCACTTTCAGCACATCTTTGAAAATGTAAGAGATAATAGCTGAGACATCTTCAGCCAGAGGTTCTCTCATGGGTGATTCTACCAGTAGTCTATCAAATTTCACTTTTTTGAGAAATATTACAAGAAACATTATAACTGGATATCACGACGCTTAAACGTCCACACGAAAATGTGGGCGGACTAAGACGCAATGAAGTGCCCTCTACACTGACGATTTTAGTGGTCGTAGTCAGCAGTGGGGTTGGTTATACACGAAGTAAGTGAAAGATCAGAGGCACGCTCACCTGCCATGCTCGCACTTTTATCATATCTTTAATTCTTCCAACAATGTAGACGAATCCATCGGGATCGATACGGCATAGATCACCAGTGTAAAACCACTTGTCCATTTGTATAATAAAACATAGGAAAATCGGTATTCATGTAAAATGATTTAACTTTTGTTTCCTGTCTGTTTTTTTCATGGCAGATTACTGTTGACGAGTGATGTTTGATAGCACCCTCGAAGTGAAATCAAAATTGACTGAAGGAAAGGCAAAACATGGTTCTCGGTTGGTGTGGTGAATTGCACATGGAACCCTATTAATAGTGATCGCGGATTCAAAGTCTAACTGAGGTTCCAGGTTCTTCTCATATCTGAGAATCCGTTGTACTATTGCAAAATAATCAGCAAGTAGGTAGACACATTGACTTAAACGCGTGTTAAGCCCGGTTACTTCCCCAAAATTTATTTGCTACACTTTTTGTATTCAAGCGGTAGCTCATGGAGCAGAAAAACTGAACGTGGTGAACGCTGGAAGAAATTTCAGTTTTGAATTTTTCACGTATAATGCAGGTTGGTTTTAACTGAATTGAGTCAGCAACGAACGAAAATGGGAGACAAATGGTGGCTCCTTTTCTAGTCGGACCTTTTCCTAATGTAGAATTAATTGTGATTGTACGGTGGCCTACTCTTCTTCTCCTAAGTAGCCTTGCATCATTGTCGGTGACTGTAGTAAAAGCTGGCCTATTTCGTTGGGTCCAAGTTGTTTGCCGTCATCGTTGACTACCTAAATAAGATGCGCTTCGTTTAAGTCAACGACCGCAACGAACGATTTTCGATAACATAATTTCCATTCATCACCTTTTAACCGAAGAGATGTAATGTGAAATACAACCATAGCGATGATGAGATATTCGCAAAACTGACCCCGGGGCAGATAGAACCACGACTTTCCTTTCTGGGACCTCGCGCATTACATATTACACCACGGAGGCCATTGCTTTTCTCTCAACTAGTTTTCCACCTAACGCTGCCATCAGCAATCACCCATTATTGTGGTAACGTTATGATTTCGACTACCCCCTCAGCTTAACTGGGTTCAATGCTGATTTGTGCTTCCCACATCAGTCCCGCTGATGGGTGATGGATTGCTGATGGAAGCGTTAGATGGAAAACTAGCTGAGAGAAACACAAATCTAGGGCGCCCGTGGTGCAGTGTGTAATGCGCAAGCCCCTGGGAAGGTAAATCGTGGTTCGATTTGGCTGGAGGTCCAGGTTTTGCGATTATTTCAACATCGTTATGGTTGTATTTCATATCATACCCTACCGTGAAAATTGTACTAGGCGGCAAATAAAAAGCTAACGAAGAGGTGTAGTTCAACGATGCACGCAAGATCTTAATTCCATAGCAGGATCGAATAGGCCTACCGTGCCTCCGATCTAGGAAGATTTGCACCGAACTTAACAGAAAAGCTGTGGTCGATCCAGAAAGGATATTGACTACCTATGGTGAAAACGTGAGGAACCCCTAACACAGTTATCCCAAGATTCTGGTGGGATCGATGCAACAATCAAGCAGCCGTCGTGCCGAACCCACAGGGAAATTCACACCGTCTTCATTCTTGAAGGAGGAGAGAAAAAGAGTCAAATGCAAGGAGTGCTGGGATCTCACGGTAGATCTGGTGATGACTGCTCTAGCCATGAAAACTGATTTCACACTCAGTATTTAACAAAAAAACTCTTTCAGGAATGTTTTCCAAGGCACAAGGGGCATTAAGGAAATGCTGGTAAATTGTTATGAGCCAACCACACAAAAGTAGACGCTGGCGCATGTTTGTAGAATATTATCTTACTTTATAAGATTTTCTATTTCTTAAAATGTCGCCGCTTGGAAAAGTAAGGAAAAGCCATGTATGCCTACATCCCTGGTTTTCTACTAAATGTTCTTTTGGCTTCTGAACACAGCTTTATGGCGATGAAGACAAACCTTCGCTTTAACCCCAGGCATAGCTCTTCCCACTGAAGAAAGAATTGAGTTTGCAGATGGAGTCACAAAGATTAGCATTCCTGTCTCAGTCATTCCAAATACTGAAAAAGGGGCAAGTCTATTATGTACAGTGATTCAAATTCAATGTACAGTATTACACTGGATAATATCCCGAAGTCCAGGAAGGCGATGTTTCAGACATCGCAAAAGATTTTCATCGGATTTAGCCGCTCCGACATATACACTCCTGAAAGTAAGTAAACATTCTGTTCACAGAAAAATAATGCAATCATCTTTAAATAATACGTCATACCTGAGTGAGCTCAAATCAAAAGAATTAACCAATGGATGTTTCACGAGAAACTCCAAAATAGGCGGTACGATATTAATTGTGGTGATCTGGAACGTATCAAACATATGTATTCTTTCTTTCATAAGTTTACACTAGGTTGGTAAATAATGTTTATATTCGACTAACGTTTCGACAGTTTCGTCTTCATCAGAGGCGGTGATCCGAGCCAGTGGCCCACAGTTATTAGTGTTCTCGAGGGGCCACCGAGTCAGGCCTTGCTCAGTGGAGAATCTATCGAGTGAGGAATACTCATCTGGCGACACTCTTTTGTACAAGATGGTTATTATCGATAGCAGTGATTATAGAAGATTAATTAGTTGTTAAAGTGTAAACTTATTGAAAGAAGAATACACATTGATGAGTCGTAGCGAGGTTAAAGGAAAGTAGGTTTTGAAATATTGTTGCGCTTTGAATTAAGTGATAATAGTACCGAATTCTACAGCATGTATTGTCTGGAAAAGTAAGTGGTTATGACTTGGCAATCGCGAATATCGATAACAGCCGTAGTGTATAACAGGGCATCATCGGATGAGTATGCCTCAATGCAGAGATGCTCCACTGACGAAGACCCGACTCCACAACAGCTCGTGAACGCGAACAACTGTGGATCATAGACTCGGATCATCGGCTGTGATGAAGACGAAATCGTCGAAATGTTAGCTGAAAAGAAACATTATCTATTCCCATATAAGCTTATCAAGGAAAGAATGTGTATTGACTAGTTATACCGAAGTTAAAGGAAGGTCGGTTTTGGAATAACACCAAAGATAGTTTTTTAGGCAAAAAGTCGTATGTCTTTATGTTTAGTCGTATGCCATATAATATCGCAGCATAATCGTTTACCTCCCAACATTTTTAAAGTCAACACGCAAAATTTTCACTAATACGCTGTCTTCCCATTACGGAGAACCTCGGTAAACATAACATGTAATCGACGTCGCTTTAGTCGGTTAGTCAATAGAAAGAAAACACCTTGTACTCTTGTATTACTCGAAGGAATCTTTCTTGATTCCACTTTCTGTTGATCACCACTGTGGCGCCTTGAAACAGCATGCAGAAGATAGTAAGCAAGCCTCCTGCATGGAAATAAGGCAGTACTCCGTGAACGCTATCGCCGACATGACAGAGCGGGAACGGATAAGTAGTAGAATTGGCATCCATAATAGAGCTGAAAGAATTTGAAGCTATAGAGGCAAATGATGAGGATAAAATCTTCGGTTTCGATCAATCCCTTAGGGATCCATTGTTCATTTAAGCATCTTCGCAGCATCGTAGAGATGATCCAACGCGTATTTTCCTTACACAAAGACTAAAGGCTAGGAGGGTTAGCGTAACAATAGTTCAAAAACCGAGCGTCATTTAACTTCAACATTAACAATCAGCAAGCTATCGCATTATCAAGCTAGAACGAGGTGTTGGATAACGTTTATTGAAGTAGCGTTTCGACGTCGTCTTTGTTAGCCGATAATCCGAGTCGATGGACCAGAGTTGTTCGTCCTCAATGTATGGTTTCTTCGTCGTCGTATCGAGTCGAAACTTCTTCAGTAAAGCACCTCACAAATGAAGGAGCCACACTCGGCGATGCCTGTTATGCACTACGGTTTCGATGGTAAACATTGGTCGTAGATAATTATTTCTTTTTTAGTGGAAAATCGTCCTGCAGCAGTCGGTATCATTATTAAAAGGCTCAAAACATAGCAATATTTGAAAAAGCAACCGCCATTTGACCTCAGTTTTAACAATCAATAGTTTCTCGGACTAAAGGATAAATGAAGGATGAAGCCGTTGTTCAATCTTTGAGGAATGCACCATGCATTCGACTTCATTAAGTATCGTTTGAGGTGATTGAATGCATATCTGGCCTTTACAGTGACTCGAGGTGGCCTACCGATGTATCGAGCCAGTGCTGATATCCTGCCAGACAAGTCTGGTACAACTTCCCGACTCCGGAGGGATGGAAGGCTTGGTGGGCCATGGGTGCCGGGATCTATTCCACGTGTGTGCAGTGGTGCCTCCAACCACTGCGCCACACGTGCCCTTCATTCTCGGATTATGAAGTTAAAATGAAACTGATAAAAAGGGAGGACGAAGATGAACGACTTTGGACTCCGGATCATCGGCTCTGAAGAGGGAGAAGACTTCTTTTTTTTTTTCGCTAGCTTATTAATCGAAGAGGTACCAGGTTCACGTTTTTGTCCTCTAATGCAAGTCTGGTGACAATTTTCGGATCCAGGAGGAATAGGCAACATGAATGGCTGTTATTCTTATATCATGTGGTGTTCTTATTCGTAGAAGCAAATCATCATAAGATAAGACAAAAAATGTTTTCTTGTAAAATGATTTTAACATTGTCAAAAACTCACATGAGTTGGCAAAGATGTGCCAGTAGGCTTCGATGGCTGTGTCTTATAGGTTTCGGTGGTCCAGTGGTTCCAGAAGAAAAGAAAATGAACGCCTAGAGAGAAGAAGAAGGTCGATGAATAGTTTCATTATTCACTAAACTAAAAACTTTTTCGTAATATACACACAATGAATTTCTGAATGGTCACTTTTAATCCAGAATGACTAGAACGCATATATGATGAGCAGAACAACAAGCATTAGGCGTAGCCTTGTGACCGTGCTTACAGTATCTCCGCTTGCTGGCTGAAGTGAGATTTCCGCTCCGGCTTTTAATTGTTGTTCGTCGTGATCTGCTTCTGACAACTCTTCCAGCAATATCATAGAAATGGAGCTGGGTTTGGATTGATTTAGAATATCAGTCATTCTTTTTGCATAATGGCTTTCGGTGAGCACGTACTGCACATTGCACATCGTCAAGTAATTCTCAATTTCGTCTAAGATAAAACTACATTACCAAACTGGTAAAAAACAGACTTGACAGAGTGCAATTGGCTTAGAGTGAATAGAAAAACTGTACGCCCTCAGACTCCTTTTAGCAAACTTTCTAATAGAAACTTCAAATCAATCAAAATCAATAATGCAGACTGCGAAGCAAAAACCACGACTTGCACTGTTTCGATGCTGGATTCACTGGAACAACAATACCACCCAAGTCGATAGCGGCCAAATATGTAAGAAGAATGTCGATCGAGTTTCCGCAAACGGAAGCGATCACAGATCCCTAAAGTTCACTGTTGTTGTATCAAACCGCAAGCAACCATTTTGCAACGGATCTTGCCTTCTCTATTCCCTTCAACAAAAGCTGATGACGAACACATCGTACAAGGTCGGGTAACGTCGAATACGCTAATGTCTTGCCGATCTCTGAGTCGACCTGTCGTATGGGAAAACTAGGTGAGGTTTTCGTACTATACGATGACAACAATGTTATCAATGAGCCAATAGAAATAAAATCGTGGGCTACACTGTTTAGTAGATTAAGTTGTGCAGAATTATGACACCAGTTGCTTTCTCCTTCATGCGCAAGAAGAACTGGGTAAAAAATCGATTTCAAGCCACAGTATAACAAGTAGATCAGGCAGTGAAAGGAAAAGTGTGCAAGCTTGACCCACTAAAGAATCTGCTCCTCCGTATCGAATAATGGACTTTAGAAATGTTCCGGTAAACGAAGGGTCTCGTAACGGGATATCAATAAACGGCACCTCCGAAGCAGTGGACATCGCAGATGGGCTCTGTGTTCCGGCTTCTATAAAAATGGTTTCGGTTACGGAACACGGTTACGATTGAGGTTACGAACAAAATAACATTTTTTGAAAGAAAACTTTGGGAAAACGTAGGGGTGGGATGCTACACTATCAATGTGTGCAGCGTGCGACAGGACCATCGAGGAGGACCACACTGATTGAAGCTTATTATGCGAGCTAATCGTCGCGAAGTCTGAGAAGGCGATGTATGTTGTGCCGACGAAAATTAGTCACGTGTTTGATACGTCATGACGTTCTGCTGTATTCTTCCATTTTCATCATCGTCATCCTTGAAGGCCAACAAATTTCTTTCGTTTCTGATTGTTTCTTGTGTAAAACACGTGATCTCGCCCCGTACCTTCGTATCGATTTTTGATGTGAGGTGCAAATGATGCAGGTAAAAAACGGTATGCCCTTGGAAAAGCTATTTATCATCTGATTAGCACACAGATTTTCATTTTTCTGATAAATGATGAGGTTCATGCAGAGTTACATCCGAATCTGAATCATCTCAATGAGTTACATCCAAGGCAAAAGGGAAAAATGGGGGTTTCCGCGGGCCGCGGTGCGGTGGTCTGGAATCGGCGACACACACGACACCTAAATATGCGATACGCACAATGAAATGAAAAAATGAAACAGATGGAATCAAAAATGCCAATCTTAAACGCAAATTTACAAAATTAATTTAAACAAGCAACAAGTTTTTGATCTACACGCTCATTCTTCCTTAAACCTAATGAATTGCGTAAAACATGACAGAAAGAAAACCTTTGAAATACACGGAGACCACCTTTGAAAAAATTATGGCAACTTTTGAGAATACGCGCAGACTATCATTGAGAATGCACAGAGACCACCTTTGAGAAAATCCAAGAGCACCCTTGAGAAATCGGAGATCATATTTTTAAGAATACTCGTGGAGACTATCCTTGAGAATACACACGAAGACAACCTTTGAGAAAATGATGACCACCTGTAAGAAGACGGATACCCCCGTTGAGGAAATTCTGGGCATTGTTCGCGTTTTTGTGATATATAGGAAAGCGCAAAACACGTAGAAGTCAAGCGTTTGCATTTTCGCGCTATATATAGATCGAATTTCATGATATGAGCACGTGCACTTCCCCTTCGTTCCCGAAGGTTCAAACCACGATGAATTTAGTACAATCTGTACGACCACGTATACAAAACACACGATCAGAGGATAGTCTCAACAGAACGTAGTATACAAACACTGCTCTACTGGATACAACACCTTGACCAGTATACATGTAGTAAACATGTGATTTTGCGCCCTGACATTGAACCAGAGTGTTCTGGCTTTGGCAATCAGCAGGGATTATCCATACCGGCAGAGCCATATACTAGGGCATAAACTCTCATGTCATGTCATGAGATATGATTGCCCCCCGATACCGAGAAACAAAGTTATCGTCACCTTGACTAGGTGGGATTCTGACTTAGAGGCATTCAGTCATAATCCCCCATATGTTAGCTTCGAACCATTGACCGATCGGTCAAGTCCATGAACCAAATGTCTGAACCTGCTATTCCTCTCGTACTAAGCAGGAAATATATCAACAGTAGGGTAAAACTAACTTGTCTCACGACGGTCTAAACCCAGCTCACGTTCCGTATTAGTGGGTGCACAATCCAACGCTTGGCGAATTCTGCTTCGCAATGATAGGAAGAACCGACATCGAAGGATCAAAAAGCAACGTCGCTATGGACGCTTGGCTGCCACAAGCCAGTTATCCCTGTGGTAACTTTTCTGACACCTCTTACCAGAAACTCTCTGGATTAAAAGGATCGATAGGCCACGCTTTCGCAGCGTTTTATAATACATGATCGTATGGATTGTACTAAATCGGTCGTGCCTGGAATAGTATTCACGGAAAACGGAATTTTTAGCACGCCGACGCTATTTCCAGCCGGCTGTCAGTACAAGAGCATAGGCACTGAAGCACCGACAAGTTTTCCGGGCGCAGACGAGTAATCTGGGCCCGAGCCGGAAAATCGTATGCGTATTTTCGCGCTGCGTATAGATCGAATTGCATCATTTGTGCACGCGCGGTTCTTTCACCCTACAGTCCCGCATAAATCTCAGAATACGTAAAACACACAGAAACGACGTATGAGCAACTTCGTGACATATGTAGATCGTACTGCATGACACGCGCAGTTGCGCTTCCCCTTCCTACGTAAGGCCCGCACTAAATCTCGGAAACCACAACACACGCAAGTACGACGCATACGCACTTTCGTGAAATATATACACCTAGCTGCATGATATGCTCAGATGTGCATAGTCTTCCTCCTTAGGCTCACACAAAATCTCGGAAAACGCAAAACATGCAAATACGAAGCATGGGCACGTTCGTGCCATAAATAGATCGAACTGCATGATATCCGCAGACGCGCATAGCTTTTTTTCCCGAAGGCTCACGCAAGATCTCGGAAAACGAAAAACACACAGAGACGACGCATCCCCATTTTCACGCTATATACGGTTCAAATTGCATGCCTGGTACAGGTACTCTTCTTTGCCTCCTCAAGAAGCTAGGATAAATCTCAGAATGCGCAAAAGGCGCAGAAACGACGTATTTGTATTTCCGCGCCATATATAGACCAAACTACATAACATGCGCAGGTGCCGTCCCCCTAATACCGAAAGCCCACGCCTAGACTCGGGAAACGGAAACAACGCAAATACGACGCATGCACATTTTCGTGCTATATGTAGATCGAACTGCATTACGTGCGCAGGTGGGCATAGCCTTCCTCCATAAGGCCCACGCCTAATCTCGGAGATCGCAAACCACGCAAATACGACGCATGTGCATTTTCGTGATATATTATATATATATATATATATAGATAGATAGATAGATAGATATAGATAGAACCCTATGACGTGCGCAGATGCGCATAGCCTTCCTCCCCAAGACCCACGCCTGATTTCGGAGATTGCAAACCACGCAAATACGACGCATGTTCATTTTTGGGCCATATATAGATCGGACGCATGGTATGCCAGGTAGTCTACCCCGTCCCCGTAAGGCCAATCCTAATCTCCGAAAACGCAAAACACGCAAATACGACGCATGCTCATTTTCGTGTCGTACATAAATCGAACTGCATGACGTGCACAGATGCGCTATCCCATCCTACTTTAAGACCACGCCTAATCTCGGAGAACGCTAACCACGCAGAAACGACGCATGTGCATGCGCATTTTCGGGCCATATATAAACCGTACTGCATATTATGCGCAGGTGCGCTTCCATTTCCTTCTTATGACCCACGCTAAATCTTGGAAAGCGCAAAACACACAGAAACGACGTATTTGCATTTTCGCGCTATATGTAGATTTAGGTTATCGTGCACATCAACATTGTGACACTACGCGAATTATATCCTTTTCGTTTATTAATGGCTTGGACAATGTGGATGAAAAAAAATCAATAAATCGTTAGCAACTTCTCTGTTGTACTCATGAGAAATGCAAAGTTTCTTAGAAGGTCAATATGGCTCTTACAACGCCCAATTTGGAATAGCCGTGCTCCGAAATAGGTGGGAAGGAAGCGTAAACCTCTCGCTCATCGCTACCCCAGTCATCCAAGCTATGCATGGTTTAAGAGTTTAAAAAATTATCCAGCACCGGTATGGACACCATCTGAATCTATGAAAGCTTAATACCGACACTGATAAAGTTCTAGGAACGTTCTTGCACAGTTTTCTATGGTTCTAACCTAAATCCAGCCGACTTGGACTCAACAGTTATAAAAGGGAGGGAAAATCGCCAAAAGAAAGCTGAACTCACATGGAAATTCGAAGCTCTTCTTGCATGATTTAAGTGACGGAGCAAATCAATTTTGAGTGTTGGAATCGATATCTGGTATCGGTCCGTGCAAAGTAACTAAAATAAGAGATAAAGTAAGTGCAATGGTATTTGCTGGTCGACTCGTCGAAAAGTGGACGTGGTCAACAAGTATGCAGTCAGCACTGTTTGAAATTATTTTCAAGTTGGTATTCAGTCTGCTAAGTACCCAAAAAGGAAGCGATCCTAGCAAGAGATTTTGAGTTCTCCGGTAAACTGCGGTTTGCCATTTCTTTGTTTAGCATGATATATCTTAGCTATTCATAAGTGGTTAGAAATCTTTTTACTTCATCGAATGAATTATCAATTAGTATCACACCGTATCCATATTTCTTATTCAGTGCAGTTTGCTCAAATCAGTGCTGCGAATGGTCCAACGGATTACTTGTAATCCATATTTTTCAATTTATTTAATTCGACTGTTTCACAAGACTATCTTACATACATCACACTATACGGACCCCTGCAATTCTTGAATTCTATTGCTTTCCTCGCACCATTTTCGCGAGGATCTTTGAACTTCTTTGCTTGCGTATTTGGCTGCTACTTAAGGATTTTTTCGTCTTCGTTGTCGGTGTCGTTGAATGATTGTCGAGTCTGTTCTCTCAGGAATTTTGAAACAACCGCCGTGGCAAAACGTTTCCACACAGATTATGAAAAGTTAATTGCCCGTAGACAACTGTGGTAGCATTTTCGCCATTCCGGAGATATAGTGGCCGGAAAGATTGGATCACCTGCGTATTGAACGGTTCCACTGTTACTGTACTACACTCTCCACAAAACCTTTAATGGTAACATAAGAGCGAGCTCACGTCCATTCTTTTATCGCACATCTCCATTCCGAACATGACTATTTTCATCCATTCCCATGCCTCTGCCTCATAAATTCAGTCGATTCACTCGCTTTGCTTGAAAAGTAGTCATAAAGCTCTAAAAGCTCTCGCCGTTGATCATTCCCTGAGGGGTGCACCATGCATTCGACTTCATCAAGCATCGTTTTGAGGTTATTGAATGCATATCTGGCCCATACACTAATTCACGTTGGCCTGCCAATGTATCGAGCCATTGCTGCTATCCACCCAGACAAGTATGGTATCAATTTACCGACCTCGTAGGAATGGAAAGCTAGGTAGGTGAGACGCGGGCATGGGAATCGGTCCTACGTGTTTTGCAGGGCGCCTCCGACCACTGCGCTACACGCGCCCTTTTCCCTTATAGGCATATAATTATCTCTACGGAAATGAATGCAAGTCTACGAATGGTCTGCTAAACCTCGTGTTGGTTTGACCAAATTTTCACAATAAAGTGACTGAAGGAAGTGAAGGACGATTTGATGTCGCTTCGAATAAAAATTGGCGAGTACTTCGTAAACAACTGTGAGGGCGACAGTATCTAATGCAAGCGTCAAGCTAACTGCGATTTCCGTACTCATCAAAAATAGTAAAAGTAGATAGAGGGCTTCCTATAACGGCTGTAAAAATCTTAGCGTCTCTCAAGTTAATTGAGTTAAGTGCGTTTCTCAGTGATTCAAAACGATTAAGCGGTTGCTTACCTTCTCATGGACAAAAACGCAGATGATTCACTTAATTGTTTACTTTTTGGTAGGAGAAAACTGGTGTAGTGGAAGCATGAAACGGATTTGCGAGACAAACCGTCAGCGGAAGAGGAGAAACGCCTCATCCTACTCGACCATAGTGCCTTTTCAATTTGCTGTGTTTTGTCCAGTCGTTGTACGGAAAATTGCCTTTTGAATTTACGGTGTTTTGTCCAGTCATCGAGCGGAAAACCAATAGGCATATTTTTTTTTTACTTTTATAAAACTCGTCTTTACATATACTGTGCAAATCTTAGCACTAACTGAATTCAATTTGTTTTCTTTCGTTTATTATGCACAAAGATCTACATGTGTGCAACTTCTTGGGTGTAGCTTAGGATACGGTTTGAGGATTTTCTCTCATCATGAATGTCGTTGAATGCTTATCGAATAAGTTCTCCTTGAGACTCCCAAGAAAGTCCGGACTGAGCATTCTTTTTTGGATTTCAGAGTGCAAATTTTTTCCAGACAATGCCGGTACTAATTTCTCAACCCCGGAGTAATGAGAGGCTTGGTGAGCCTAGGATAAGATTGAACCAGAACCATGCTCGTGATAATCGGCGTCACTACCACTGTCGTCATATTTTAATCGTGTAAATGACGATTTTTCATCAGCATTACCAGCATATATATTTCTAATACTTTGCCATATTACAAAAATTGAAAAAATACTTGGAAAATAGCACAAAAGCTTGAACCAATTGCTACTTTTGATGTGACCACTATAAACAGTGGATCGACAAACATATTACTGATGAGTAGTGCAAATTTCATTCCAGAGGGGTTTTTCGCTACAATTTAGACAACGAAATGCGTTGAGGATGCAGTGTCTATTATTAAATTCAATGTTTTTTCTTCAATAAGTAGACACGAGATATTATTAAATTACCTAACATCCTATTCAGTCAGCCATTCGTTCACCTGTTCACTCATTTTGATTTTTGTTCTTGCGTGCTCTTTTTTGGCACGTTTTTTAAGGCTTCAATAAAATAAAGTCGTACAGCGATTTGTCTTGCTCGAAATGAAATTATCTTCAAGGGAAAGAATAGTAGCGACCGTTGAGATCGTGGTCTGGTCTACTTACCGTATTCATGAATAGAAGAACATGCATTTAACAGTCGTGATGATTCACACCCAATGCCTAACCGGTCGGCACTCCTGAAATCTGACGACCGTGCGCGCTGGACCATTTTTCGCTGATTTATTTTCGGGAAAAAAGATGTCCAATTTATCTGAGAAAATGGATAGGTCTGTTTACTTTGCAGTTTTTATGAAAATTGTAAGGAAAGCCATGAAATGATGGTGTCTATGTGAGGATGAGAGACTAACGAAGTGTGATTTGAACCTAATTCTCGATTACGAATTCATGTCCTG